CCCCCCCCCTTCTTTCCAGAAACATGGTACTGTAGCCTACACGTAACCCATCTTGCAGCAAGGCTTGCCTCGGCGATGGTCCCACCGAACGGGTGGCGTGGTCCGAATAGGGCCTCCTCGTGCTCATAGCCGAAGTCGCGGTACATGACGGCCGGGAGAGGAAACTGCAGCCGAGAAGCGACGGTCTGCGTTGTCGTCTGATGGCCACCGCACGCCACGCGAAGAAGTTACACGGGGTTGGAGGAGCGCGCGGGTTTCCAGAGACGAGGTGAAGGGCCGGACGAATACTATGGTGTAAACAGCTGCTCCTCTCGCAGAGATTCGGGTCGAGTATGTGCTACGTATCGAGGGTGCTCGCCCCGGTGGGCTGGTATATGCATGTATGTAGAACAACAGAGATTTCTTCGCGGCAATCACAAATTTTAAAATGTCGTTCTCCCGCAAGCTTGTGACTGCCGCGTCTGGGGAACGGCACACAGTCGAGGGGCAAGATAATACCGAACCTCTCTCACACGCCACGGGCAACGCGCGAGAGGGTTGGGGGGCACCCACCCCTAGATCGACCCTCACCTTTGGACGAAAATGAGAACAACTCTACGTATATTTTGACAATATGTATGCATAGTCTAAACACACACAAAAGACTTCAACAGTCAGTCGAACGGGATGCGTTGAGGTCTACAAAAAATAAACTCTTGGGGTGTGGCGAAAAAATATCACATCGATCGGGGAGGAAAGTACACAATTACGTTACCTGAATTTTTTTGTGGGCTTCGGCTACCACCTTGTTCTTGCGGGTTATGAATCAATGGCAGGGATCTCTTGAAAATATGCAGGGGGTGTGATAATGATGTTGGTGTTGGTTCGCTGTGATAAGTGACAAATGCTTGTGCTACACCAAGTCCCGGGCCGTTACTGGACAATATACATGCCTCCAGAATCACATCGACTTTCACCATCTGTAACATACACATCACCATAATCGCTACGCATAGGTATGTACGTGGGCATGCACTGGTCTTTTAATCAGCAAGCAGATGACTGCGAGAGAACGAGGCATAACAATAGCGCTGTTCACGTTTAACGGAAACTATTTAGTATTTTGTGAACACGTACATGTAGATCGAGCCTACAGTACATACAGCAACCTGCTGCTGCGCAGGACCTCCATACACACATTAATTGGTTGGAATGACTCTGACTTGATGACACATGCAAGCAAATAAATGCTGGGATATTCTACACTTCACAATGGATGCAAGTCTCTCGGGCCGCGTTCCAGGACAATTTGCCATCATCTACCTGGTTGTTTAGGCTAGACTGTACCCGTAACACGAAATTGTGTTGTGGCATGGTTATTGTTGCTTTTTCATTGCGTTGCACCTCGCCCGATCGATGAAATTGCCTCGGCATGGCGATGTAAAGATTGGGCACGTGCTGGCTACTGTAGGTACCGGCATAGCATAAAACTTTGTGATGGAAATTCTTGTGGTGCGCTTACCGTTCCTGACAATCATATGTGCGACTTTGTATCAAATATAGCGGTACAGTTAGCCGGAAATCGTTTTTTTTCGGGGTGTTGGCATTTAGATACAGGCACACGCACATACAACCGAACAGAGATTTTCGTGTGCCCCGTTCTGGCGTTTATCACTCGCCCGTGATGACATCACAGTCATTCATACGTCCCTCGCGCAGAGGATAGCTACGCGACGTCCGCAACAAGAACACTGTCCGTCGCATGCGCAATCCGATCTATTTATATATACGGGTTGATATTATTGAAGAATGAAATATGGCTCGCAGATACCCCGGCGGCTTGTTGAAGGTTCTGGTCGAATTAACGTGTTTTCCTCCATCCTCATCGTACGCAACATCAGATTCCATACATCAACGCCCAAAGCAAAGCCCCGCGACAGATAGATTTCTGTACCCAAACACATGCACATCGTACTGACAATTATTGTGTTTACCTCCATCCTCATCGTACGCAGCCGGCGCCCGGAATAGTGCCGGTGAAATTTTTGCGCACGCCCCGGAACGAAAACAGGGACCTCTACTGTAGCAGATTCCATACATAAACGCTCAAAGCAAAGCCCCGCGACAGATAGATTTATGTACCCAAACACATGCACATCGTATTGATACATTGATTGACGTATGTTCGTGGAAATGACGTGGGCGTGTGGTGACATCGCGGACAAACACACCTGGTGATACACTCCTCCGGTCCATCCCATGCACAGCAAGCAGTAGCAGCGCCGCAGCAGCAACCTTCATATTTCTCTCGACGACGGGAAGAAACCTGGTCTCCTCGCTATATGAAAGACACACCAGCCCGATGAAGCTCCCAATCTTGATGGCTCAAAGAACGATGGTTCTCAACACCTGTCGCTGATGTAGTCTATGTGCACTACAGCCGAGGATGTCCAAGCGGGGTCTGATCGGGTGATCATTTTTTTGTTTTTGTTTTTGTTTTTTTTTGCCTTCCGACAATTAATTGCAGATGGATGTACCTCAGAAAAAAACTTTCACTTAATGTTCCATACTCTACATGAATATTAAACCAATACGAAGTACAACAACATATGTAGGACTTCTTTCTACTGTCACTTACATCGTAAAAATATCTCCTCTTCAACTTGAACTAAAACCGATGACAATCCTCATGGTATCCTA